GAAATCGTCATTATTAGACTTTTTATAAACAATATACACATAAACAATGCAAGAATATGATTTAAAGAAAAAACCTTTAATGGTAAAACCACATTAGCTAAATTAGTTCTTTGAATTTCAGGAACGGTGTTTTCTTCCAACTCGTTGTGAAACGCATGTTGAGTATATAATTTAAAACAATGACCTGGTCCAACACGTCCAGCTCTTCCAGATCTCTGAACTGTTGAAGCTCTTGAACACTATAAAATAATTTAAAATAATTTTTATACAAATGCTTATGATATGAACACATAAGAAATTGATCAATACCTACTGGAACAACTAACAATGATTCCATTCTTGTTTTTGGACTGTATACATTTTGTTTAACAAAACACGTATGTTGCTTCCAAGAACCCTACAGGTATGTTGTAAACTTTCATGCACAGCTTCAATTCATCTTGTCCTTGTAAAAGTAGAAGAATTATAAAAAAAAAAAAAAAACCATTATTAATCAATGATAAATATTTAGACATTGTAGAACATTAAAACATGTAATTATTCTTATACTTACTGTAAGGAAAACCAATATGTCACCGTTCTTTTGTGAAATGTGCAATTGCATTACCGTAGTGATAGCAGCGGATATATAATTTGCTTCAGGTGCTTTAGTGTAGCATATTTGTACAGGATAAGGCTTGCCAGGAACTTTATATTTAGAATAAAATAAATGTAATTGATGTTATTTATGTAATGTGAATGGAATAAAGAGAATTAACGTAATGTTTAAATTTTTACTATTGAAAATTGGTGCATCAAAGTATTCTGCAAACTTTTGAGCATCTAAAGTGGCACTTGATATTAAAAGTTTGAGATCAGGTCTTACACGGGCAATATCCTTGAATTATTAAGGGAAATGTTAGACATTTATAATAATTTATAAAATTCTAGAAATAAGATAATTAGATGTTAATATTAACTTTACTAAACTGAATAAGATATCAGTATGTAAAGTTCTTTTGTGTGCCTCATCGATCATTAAACAATTATAATCATCTAATAAAGGAGTAGATAAAAATTCACGGAGAAGAGTACCATCGATCATATATTTAATTATAGTTTTATCTGAAGCACAATCCTCGAACCTAATCGCGTATCCGACCTATAATTATGATAAGTTAGATAAGATATATGGATCATAATAAATCATTAATCATTACGAATCATCTACCTCATATCCAAGTTTTACACCCATTTTTTCTGCTACATTCATTGCAGCAACCCTCCTTGGTTGCGTACAACAAAATTTTTTCCCATCTTTGGCATAATCATTTTTCTTGTAATTTTTCATATAGCTTTATTGTTGTATCCGAAGTAGCCACTTATTTGGAATAATCATCAATCTCAAAACTTAATTTATAAACTTTCATAATATTCTCGTGTATCCATTGTGCATGATTCTGAACAAGTTGTGCTTGTGCCATATTAACTAACTCATCGAGACAAAATTCTTTAGAAGTAGTTAATAGACCTAAAATTGTAGATGCATCAACATTATCGAACAGGACTAGACGGCCATAAATATATCAATATAATCCAAGAAAGCTCAAAATTGTACCAATGATAAAAGAGTAAAATGTAATTTATGAGAAATACCATTTCTGCTTAATTATAATCTTAAAAACATTAACAGAAAAGTGCGGTTTACTGATTTTTTGAATATTAATTTGATTGTAATTTGTTTTAGCTAATTCGTCACGAAAATAAGAACATCGTGATTTCAGAATAATTGAATGGGGCCTTAAATTCTTGACGGTTGTTCGTGTGACCAACTTCAATTATTACATCATAATCTTTACTATTTTCAAGATTTGCTGAGTCAAGAAGGTTATATAAAATTCTTCTATATATGCGATAAAGTATAAAGTTGAAAGACAATAAAATCTCAGAAAATTTAATCCGATAAGTCACTGTTACCGTTACAAATTAACCTTAATCCAAATCTCAAATCGATATGAACTTAGCGACCAGTGTGTACTCCGCCTTGGAATGGTCATATCTCGGTTTATTAAAACTTTAAAACCGTCTGCGTCTCCAATCTAAACTTGGGAATCAGAACCTTTCTATGTGCACGCAACTTTTAGTAAAATTTCTAGTTTTTTAAGTAACTTTTTTGCTGAAGAAGAAAGGTAAATTTCCTTTTAAAGCGGGTCTGTCATTTTCTACGTATAAGTTTCATCTATCCAAGCAAAGGTGAGGATCGTCCTCGTCATATGAGTAAAGAATCCTGTGTGTGCTTGCTTTTATCGGACTATCATAGCATTTGAGGTTAGGATGAGGTTAAACTATAGGGGAATTTACAAATAAGGGTCGTAAAGTGAGAATAATTACAAACCCAAATTAAAAATAGTTATATAAAGGCCTAATTTTTAAAAAATATTACATATAAGAGAGCAAGCCTATGGCTTGATCGTTATTAGCATAAGAAATATAAGCATCGACAAATGTAGTTATTAAGTACATAAAAAGCGTAACGATTGATTGTAAATTAGTATTCATAAACGAGAAAAAAAAATTTTTAAATTTAATAAATTTCATTTTCTTTGTATAAAATTGGTTATTGTTATAACAAATCACTATGATATCAAGCAAAGAAGTTCCATAGATATGGACACTCTATAGATAGTCTCTCTATGCCATGAACAGTCCATATCCAAGAACAACACTGATATCAAGTAAAGCACTACAACATTTACTAATATGGACGTTAATTGTTCAACTCTTGAGAGCTACTCTATTGAAACCTCATCGTCTTATAATATTGTGCTAGTTTAAAGCTATTTTTTATACATTATTTAAGCGAAAATGATTATAACCAACGCTTCATTTATTTTTTTTATCTAATAATTGATATATAGATAACTTTAAATGCCTATAATAAAACAATCAATAAGCCTATAATCGCGATTTTGATATCGTTATAAATTCACGTTTTTTTCAGACAATGTAATATTTTTAAAAAAATTAGACCCTTATATCTGCCAAGGTTAGCCAATCAGAATGCACAATTTGGTGTAATACAATTTAACGTGATCAGTAATGTAACTTCAGGTTGGCCAAAATTTGTGTTGTCCGGCCCAAATTATACACTTAATTTTGCCTGAAATGATATTGTCACACTGCATTAAAAATTGCAAAAATAGAGTATTCGAACCATATGACTTTTAATTATTTATTCGAGGCACTCGAATCACGAAATTAATTTATTGGAACATGTTGTAAACTAGGTATATTTAATTCGCGAGTAACACTCAAATTAAAATTTTATGATGATAAATTCGAGTTATTGGTATCTAAACCAAACATACACTAATCACAATATTAATATAATACTTTCTACTAAAAAAATAGAAAAGGTTATGTTTGGTAATGTAATAAAACTTTGATAAATATAATTAAAATTTTTTGGTTTTGCCAACAAAATTATTCATTATAACAAATAATTGCTATAATATAGAAAGTTCGTACATTATGTTTAGCTAAGCATGTTTAACTTATAAATAAAAGTGTCTTTTGAACTCTATAATAGTATAATATATAAATATCAAAATACAAATTTGAGTAAGAGGTTTTCATGGAAGGGTTTGGGTGAAATAAAAATTCATGACTATTCGATTATCAGGAGGCATTTTCAAGGTCTTTATTATATGGTAACAAATTCCTCGCATAAATTGGAAATATATATGTATATGCTATTATCCAATAAAAGACACCAAAAAAGGTTCCTGACAATTTTTCTGAAAAATTATGGAAGTACATGGCTGTCATAAGTAACATAAACCACCAAAGAAAGAGAATGAACATCAGAAAGAAAGTATAAATCCAATAGTGCTTCGCCATTTTCACACTCTTTGGACGATATAAAAGAACGCTAAGTTCTTCCCAAAGAAGGAGTGAGGAATGAATCAACAATAAGCAGTGACCGCTGATATCATGTCCGCCTGACCAATTGGCACCATTTTTTTTACATGCGTAAGATTCGATCCATTGTGTGTTCGAACCTTCAAGAGTGCATTGTCCACCAGTCGCGACATAGACCCAGTCAATAATACTAGGACCAAAAAACCATTGGGTAACAAGATACCAATATAAGGTTGCAATGCCCAAGCGAACAAACGACCATTTAAGTTGATTGAGCTTGTTATTATGAATTACCTTCCAGGAGTATAAGACAAATATTAATGAAGTCCAAAGCCAGCCAATTTTCACAAACCACAAATTAAAAACGTTGTCCTTTCGCGAGAAGTAGGATTTTGGGGGAGGATTTATTATACTTCGTAAAGATCCTAAAATAACAGTCCCAACGTAAAATATCAAAAGTAATAGTTGCCTGAATATTTGACCATTGTCCGTCTTTGTGACTTTACGCTGGATCTCTTTTCTTGAAAATGTTGAGGACGACTTTTCAAGTTTTTCTGCCATTTATTGGAACTAAAGAGGTAAAAGGCGAGTGAAAAAAGTTATGTAATTTTTACACGTGAAAATCTCACAAACCTGCATTGCACATGACATAATTTCTGTAAATGCTGAAATGTCGATATACGATTTTAATTAAATTACCTAAATTACCGCACTGATTTATTAGTTATCATACGTACCCCAGTGTTTATCTATTTCTAGCATCTAAAAGAGCACCAACTAAATTATTAGCTGTTTTATTTTAATGCTATAGGTTTAGTTTGGTAGAGTTTTTTGGACGCTAGAAATAGTTGGTGAATCAAAATACAGATTTTCTCATTATATCGATATTTAATATAGAATCAGTGTCCTTATCAAATTCAATCTCTGAAGAATCTGATTCTATGTGATTAGTTCTAGAATAAATTTTATCATTCTCTTTTTTGAGGCCAGATTATATAATTTCTTCGCAAAAAAAATTTTTTTCCGGTTTGATTAAAATCATGTCTTATATAACGAATAATTTACACATGCGGAGTCGATTTTGCAGAGGCTGAGTCCAGCAGGGTGATACTCGTATGATCATTTCACCCACACCTAAATCAGGCCATCACAAACTTTAAATCATGCAAATCTTAGCGTTAGCTTTCGAAATAAGTGCCATCACACGAAATAATATACCCTTGTAAATACCCCTGCAAAATATACTCAAAACACCCCGGGCATCTTGTATGGGTATGTTTATCAGGCCCTGTGTCTTCAATCAGTGCGATAGGTGCGACAATTGTTTCTGTTTTAGATGTTATTTTTATTGATGCTATAATGGTCTTGTAAATATAGAAGACAAAAAATTTATAATAAACGTTTATTGTCAAGCATTCATGAAATATTGTTAACTTTACCATCCTGAAATTCGGAATAATTAGATTATCATACGCCCGACTTCGTCATGCCTTAATAAATCCTTAATTCGTAGAAAAACAAATGTACATAGGTATTGATTTTGCAAAATCAAAGAAATTTAGCAGGAAATCATGTCAAGTGTTTGCGTATGAATCGAGCAGTTTATTTCGATAACTTATTACACGCTTAAGGTTGCTAATGGAACGCCATATTCTGGAGCCATTCCCAAGCTTGAGCCCAGATTGCTCTAAATGTTCTTGAGTTGGAATAAAATCCGATGTAAAATTGAATCAAACCAACTCAATTCATTAACAACCTTATATATATCCCAGGGATAATAGTTTTAAAAACATCTACTATTAACGTCTACTCTCTTTTGGGGATATAGTTTTAACTTGGTTGTATCTGTTCAATATACGCATGTTTAAATATGCAAAACGTGTGTCAATTTCATTTACGGCGCATTAGTTTATTAAATTGCTTAAATTGGATTAAAATTTAAATTGTTAAATATGAACTTATATACCCCCTCATTTAAATAACACCGGTCATCCATCTAGTATTCTTAACACCCATTTCAACCGCGCACCGACCCCAATCAATTCCATGATTGTGTTTAGATTCTTTGTCCCCCAAGCCAGCCCTTTCCAATGCTTGTTCATCATTCAAACAAGTAAGAACTCCAAAAACAATAGGTACACCACTGTCTAGACTAACCCTCATGATTCCCTGACTTACGGCTTCCGCGATATATTCAAAGTGCATGGTTGAACCTTTAATTAAAACTCCAATACAAATAACAACGTCGAAACTTTGGGAACTTTGGACATTCATTCTCGAAGCCCCAATAAGGCTTTGCGTAGCAAAAGGAAGTTCATAAGAACCAGAGACCGATTGGATTGAAATATTTTCAGATTTCACGTTATATTCTGAAGTCATCGTTTCAGTTGCACCACGAACTAACGCTTCTACAACCTCATAGTTCCAACGTGTGTGCACTATCAATACACGTAGAGAAGACCCGTCATACTTTTCTGTTGAAGGGGTCACGCCTTTGGTAAATGTAGCCATTTTTCCTTCAAAATTTTCGGTTATCCTGTATATCGATACGTAAAAGTTGGCTAGACTTTATATATACAATTTAACCGAAATATTTTTCCGGAAAAAAACGGTGGCTACATTTTACCAAAGGTGTGACCATTAACGTAGTGAAAAAAAAGCATACGATAAATAGATATTTATGTCATTTTTTTGAGATAGATAATCGAAAATTATGTAATTTGCGTACACCCCTGCAACTGCACACATGACTTAAAAAGACAAGTTACAAGAATTGTTTGGTAAAAACTTTCTTTACCCACTTAAGAATAATCTAAAACATATTAAAAAAAAGTTAAGTAAATGGCTTCTTCTTTACCTAACCTTTGCCTTCGTAAAATATTTGAATGTATTGAGGAGGATAAGATTTCTTTACACTCGTGTCTTTTGGTTAATTGGCACTGGTGTCAGGAAGTTGTGCCGATCCTATGGAGAAGCCCTAATGCGTATATGTCTAAACAATTGGTCGAGGTATACATTGCATGTTTGTCAGACGAAGAAAAACAAATACTCAATGATAACGGTTTAAATCTTCCTCCTTCAACCGAGTCACCACCAACTTTTGACTATGCAAAGTATCGGCGTGTCCTCCACCTTGGAGGTCTTTATCACCATTTGTGGTGGTGGTGTAATCTTCGAAGAGATGAATGTATTGGTGCCGAAGGTCGTTTTATACTTACAGAATTATTATTGAAGCTTTTCGTGAGTCGATGTCCCGCTATTTATCGATTTTCCTGTGACGCAACCTGGTTGCTCGAGAAATACGATATCACATCTTATCCAGGTGCTGAATCCTGTTTGCAACATATTCGTAGATTAACTCTTACTGGAAAAAGGTTACGTAAATATTTTGAAAATTTTTCAATTTGTCATGGTGTATGTCAATTGAAGACGTATCTTCCAGTATATGAATGGGATAATGAGAAGCAGTGTAGAAATACCGAGAAATTTGAAGTTGAAGTAGAAGGTTTGGTTACTTTTATTCAAGCCCAAAGAAATTTACAGGATTTAGAACTTCATGGTGATTATTATGGACATGACACTGGTGGAAGAATCATCGCTGCCTTGCAAAGTCAATCCGAAACTTTAACTCGATTAAAGTTAAGTTACGTTAGATTTGAAGGTCAACCTCCATTCTTCGGGATCGGTGCCTGCAAGAATTTGGAAATTTTGGAATTTGATGGTTGCGATGGATTGACTACAGAAATGTGCAGTCCAATGGTTGAATCACCATTGTCCAAATTATCACAATTGAATATCTCAAATTCTGACATTCCTGTTGATATCGTATCATCATTGGCTTATAATGCTAATACCAGTTTGCGCGAAGTAACGTTGTGTTCCACGCAGAGTACAAAATATTTAGTACAAGTAATTAACGCGCTTGTCAAGAATTGCCCGAATCTTACTAAATTTGAATCAAATCAAATTCATGGTATTGAAGAAGTGTCTGCAATTTGTTCTCTCTTGAGCAGTTCACAACAACTTGAAAATTTAGCAATTTATGGAGCAAGTTTGGATGCAGAAACTTTTTTACCAGCGATAGGTCAATCTATACCGGATAGCCTTCGGAGGTTAAATATTTCATCAGAGTGGTCATTTACCACAACTGCTTTTGAATCTTTTCTGAAAAATTGTAAAGCACCATTAACTTGGCTAACACTTTCTGGATGTGAATGTATCACCGACGAATATCTTGAACTCGTCGTACAATATCTAGGAAAAACTTTACAATATCTCGGTGTATATCGCGCCGTATATAACAGAATGGAATCTTTTGATAAAGTCAGAGAAGTAATACCCGAAGTTGATGCACCCGTAGAAAGTCACTTAAAATTTTATCAAAGGAAATGTCAACGCGATGACTAACGCTAGTGATTGTAGTTGATTAAAAATTTACCAGCTTAGCCGAGTCGATGGCTAAGCCGGCTTAATCGGCTATTGTCTATCGCTACAAACAAGACTCCAAAATTTTGAGCTACAATGTAAACAACCTAGTTCCGACCAACAAGTGACTAAATTCAAATGCTAATCCCTATTCAAAAAAAAAAAAAAAAAAACAATAAACGCAATCTTTTAAATGTTAAAGCTACTCAAGCTAAACATCTTTCAGCTCTTGAATTTTTCTAAACCTATTTTTAATAAAGTAGAAATGAAGTAATTTTATAATTGAATTGGGAATTTGGTCACTATGTTTACTATTCAATAAGCACACATGTAAAAATTAAATTTTATTACATTGTATATAAATTATAATTCGGAAACTTCTGAACATGCAAATTTGGACCTTTTCACACAGGTTCGAAACAAATAAAATCATAAGTATTCGTGTAACAAAAAAATAAACTCATGAAGGATAATGTACTTCTTAAATTATGTAAAATTTTGTTACTATTTATTTTTTATTTTAAAATTTGTAAAATAATTTTTAAAATTCTGATACAATATAGTAGTGAAATTTTATGTACAGTCAATTTTGATAATTTTTCGCCTATGCAATGTATCGCCACTCATAAGTCACGTGTAACGTTAAATCAACAACAATAATAATAGGGTTAGGGTCAGCATTAGACTGGGATTAGGCGTGGCTTTAGTAAATTAATTCTAATCTAAAATTTTGCAAGGAATTTTTTTAATTAGAATGTAAGAGGCAAATTCTTGAGTTACAGACGATTTTTCAGAAAAGACCATGTTTTGCTTCGATTTCACGTTACACCTGATCTTGCATTCTAATTGGTCGATTAGGGTGGCGATACATCGCGATAAATTATAATACCCATATATTGTTGACCCTCCCCAAACCTATCCTGTCAAAACCGATATCCTACCATAATTGGTTAAAAATCGATCCGCCAGGTCTGTTCCTTAAGTCATATCTGATAACCTGCCATTTCTGATATTCGATAATCCAAAAATATATACGTTCCCGATTTATCGTATATGGTCATATGATCAGAAGCCAATCAAATCATTAATTATTAAGCAAATGTGAAATCGTACAGTCAGACCTATCTAAATACAATGTTGCAATGCGACGACCATATGTAAAATTTAATCAAACATGTATTTAGAAAGATATTGTATTTAGATAGATAAAAATTTACAGATGTAATATTAGTTGGGTTCAAGAAAAACATTTTTTAAAAAGGTTTTTTATAAAATGTGCACTTAAAAAGATAGCATTTAGAGGGATTTGACTGTACTTATTATCAAGTACAGTATATGAAACTTACATATAAGTATAATTTTTATTATAATGTTATAGAACAAATTATTATTATTTTATTATTATTATTTTTTTTTATTTTTTATTTTTTTTTAACTTAAGCAATCATGCTAGTATTTTATTAAAATTCTTAATACTATACAGATTACAGAGAATTTTCCTAATACTTAAGTTCAGCATCATCTGGCTACCTTATTGGTGCCTAAGTGTGACCTGTCACATTACCTCAAACAGAGATAGACTGCTTGTTTGACTGTTATTCTACAATAAGAAATCATTAATTTGATAACATCTTCTCATAAGAAAGCAAAAAAACAAAAAAAAAGATTTTATATATAAAAAAAAAACAGAGATATAAGAGTAACTAATAAAAGTACAAAACAAGAAATAAAAGAAGAAAATGAAAAAAATGAAAAAAATGAAAAGTATAAAACTTACAATTTACAAAATCAGATAGTTATGATTTTAAGTCTATGTTAGATATGAAATTTGCAATTCACAGATATTAAACAATTACAATTATAAGCCTGTATTAGACTTATAAAAATTATAACTATACTAAATAGAAATTACTCTACTATTTTTCTATTTATTTAGATTATTTAAACAAAAAACCAAAAAAGAAAAAAATTTTGACTTTATTATAGAAGGTTAGTGTAGGTACTGGTTAGTCTGGAGGCAGTGTTTGACAGATTTTTAGCAATTCAAGGCATGTGTATAGTTGTGTTTTTATTACTGTATTATTTCTGATCTATATCATAAACAATCCTATTTAGAAAATAAACACTGCTAACTGTTTTGATAATTTTACATATTGATCTTTAGAAGAGGGTAAACTGAATTACCTATTTTTACAAAATTTTTCTTGAAAAAAAAGTAAAAGTATTAGGTAAACCAATTTTTAGCTTTTGTGAGTTCTTAACCCTTGTGAGTATTTCTTGTAAGTTTTACAATTGTATAGAACTAATATATCTAACTTTGTTGTTTACTTAATAAGAAATCTTGGTTTTTATTAACTACTTCTCTATAGTCTTAAAGTGCTCTTTAAACTGTCACTACAAGGTTGCGACTCTTTTTCAACTCCATTTTAATGTCCAACAATATATATATAGTACTTCAGAAAGATTTTCATAAAGTTTAATATATTAACTATATTATTTTCTATAGTTCAGTTTTTTGAAAAGTTTGGTTCAGATGATCATTAGAAAAGGTTTTGATTATTTTATTATTATTAATTATTATTTATTATTATTATTTTATTATTATTATTTAATATTAGTTATTCTTTTTATTATATTATTATTAGTAGTAGTTACTAGAACTTTTTAGTTATTTAGTAATCACTTAGTTATTTTATCACTTAATAATTATTAGTTATTAGTTGCTAGAACCTTCTAGTTACTTAGTAATCATTTAGTTGTTTAGTTACTTAATCATTTAATGCTTAATTACTTAGTTGTTAAATTATTTAGTCATTTGGTCATTTAGTTGTTTAGCTCACAGATATATAAATTCTGTTAAATTTTTTAAGTCCAATTAAGCAACAAATACTTTTTTTTTCTTTAATATTGTAAACAGATTTTGAAATTCTTTAGGAACAGAAACCTAAAGATTATTTTTTTAATTTTTTTTGTTTTTTTGATATTAAGATAATCTTTTTGGTTTTTATTAATAACTTTTGATAATGTAATTCTATGAACTATTACAGAAAAACATACAATTGGTTATATGTATAACTTTTCTATATTACTTATTTAAAAAGTCTATTTGAAGATTTCCTACAATTGTTATAGCTAAATTTTTGCTTAGATGTTCTAGTTTAAACTTTCTAAATCTGTAAACTGTATTAATTACTGAATTATACCTAGATGCTTAGATCATTATCTCAATCTTAGAACTATTTTATTTTCAAAATAAACCTCTCAGAGTCTTTTGTACTTATTTTTATAATTAATCTAGATATTGTTATAATAGAACCAATACTTGCAATCAGAACTTAATTATTAAACTGTTATGTTCTTATAGAGTTTATTTAGACCTTAGCATTTATATCATAGCATAACTTTAGTATTTTAGTATATTTTTGAATTTTACCAAATTCTTAATACAGATGATCTGTATAAAACTATAACTAGTTTATTGATATATTAGATCAGTTCAATATCTTTTTTCTCTAGTTTGTTCTAGTAATCTGGTTGGTAATATCTCTGAAACTTCTAACTTAAAGGTTCTTGTCTGTTCAGTTATTAAGATCTTGATATCTGTTTTCCTAAGCTAGTCTTTATAGTAGTACCATCAAAGATTCATCTACTTCTCTATTTGAGTTTTTTCAAATAGACTTTTTGTTTTTAATTTTAATAGCTTTATATAGCCACAAGGACTTATCTAATGTTTGCACTGCTCAGTTGTCAGTTTGCATTCTTTTATATAACTTTAACATTACACAGATGTCCTATAACCTGCCAGTTATGCTAGTATAACTATTATTATAGGTATCCTAATTCAATTATTAGTAACAGTTGCTATAATATAAATATTATGTAGGTAATTATCTAAATTTTTACCATTGATAAAATTTGAACATTCAACCTATCACTTAAAAGATTAACAACCTGACTACTTTACTAGGTTATTATACTCTTATAGCTCTTTTTGTTATTACTTTAATAAACAGTTTTTGATTATAAATTGTATAGATATTCTTTTTTTAGAATAATTTTTACAGACAAAGTTTATCTCTTCTTAATAAAATAAAGTTACCAGTATTGCATTACTTTTTCTAAACTGCCTCAAAAAAAAAATATAGTTTTTTGACAATATCTAACAGAAATTATGTTTTTTTTTTGAACACTACATATATTTATAAAAAATTTTCTGTACTATGTTATTGTTATAATATAAAAATTAAGAAGACTTTTATTTATAACATTTGATGCCTTCTGGTAAAAAGATTAAATTTTTAAATAAAAACAAGTTACTTTAGACAAGATATTCTTAGATGTATTAAAAAAGTTATTTTAACAAAAGATTTAGATAAGTATTAGTTATTCTAGTAAAAGACTCAAATAAGTATTAGTTATCCTAACAAGAGATTTAGACAGATATTAGTTATTCTAATAAAAGACCCAAATGAGTATTAGTTATCTTGACAAGAGATCTGAATAAGTATTGATTATTTTAGCAAAGTTCTAAATATATATTGAAATAATTAAACACCTCTTCTTTTATGGTTCATACTGCTACTAAACTTTACAATAAGAACATCCAAAGTTATCAACAAGTATATTTAACTAAATCTTATTTTGTACTAAATATACTTTAAGCATAGCATTCAGATTTATCTTGTCTTTAGTATTACTTTCCTCAATATACTAGTTTTTGCTTATTTTTTAAACAATTTTGAACTTAGTACAGAACCATCTTTGCAACTTAACATCATTCATTCCAAACTCAAAACAACTTTACTATTCTTACTATTCCATATTCAAATCAAATTACATTTTGTCTTTGTATTAGAGATATTATTTTTAGTTGTTAATACAAACAAGATATTGGTAATTCTAAAACTATAGCTTTAGCTCTAGTTAGAAAATATACTAATCTTTTTTAACTTTCTATCTTATTTTTTAAATACCAAAACATT